ACCACTGCAAGCGCCAATTTTTCTAAGATCGGATACCTGGCCTCGGCGTCACTTAGCGATTTGCTGACATAGAATATTGGACGCTGTTCTCCCCTATCCTCGCGAACTAGAACACTGCTAACTGCCGATGTGGAGATAGCGATGTATAAGAAGAGCGTCTCGCCGTGCTCGGGCTTAGCTAGAATGGGGGGGGGGGGTTGAGAGATACGTTTTCAGCTGCTTGAAGGCGTCTTCGCACTCAGCGCTCCAGGTATGATGCTTGTTACCTCGTAACAACTGGTAGAAAGGCAGGCATTTATCCGTCGACCTGGAGATAAATCTGTTCAGGGCGGCGATTCGGCCTGTGAGTTTTTGCACTTCCCTTTTTGAAGTCGGAGAAGGTAGGTCTAGAACTGCGGATATCTGCTTCGGGTTAGCCTCGAAGCCGCGCTCGGTGACGATGTAACCCAGGAATTCGCCTGCTGTCACGCCGAATGTGCACTTGGCGGGGTTGAGTTTCATCCCGTACTCGTTCAGAATGTCGAACCACGTCGATAGGTGCGATATATGGTCCTTAGCGTGCAGGGATTTAACCAGCATGTCGTCGATGTATACTTTCATCGTTTTTCCGAGCTGACTGGCGAACATGCGGTTCACGAGTCTTTGATAGGTAGCTCCCGCGTTTTTGAGGCCGAACGGCATGACCTTATAACAGTAGATCCCTCGATCTGTAATGAACGAAGTCTTTTCCCGATCATCCGGATGCATTAGGATTTGGTTATACCCCGAAAAGGCATCCATGAAAGACAACAGTTTGTTGCCTGCAGTTGCCTCTACCAACCGATCAATGTGTGGCAGTGGGAAGCTATCTTTGGGACAAGCTTTATTCAGGTCGGTAAAATCGACGCAGATCCTCCACTTTCCATTCTTTTTCTTCACGACTATCGGGTTTGCTAGCCAGTTCGGGTATCGAACTTCTGTGATCGAACCGGCCTTGAGTAACTTTTCGACCTCGTCGTTTACTGCTCGTGCCTTCTCGGGTCCGAGCTTGCGTCTCTTCTGTTTGATAGTTTATATGTGGGATCGATGTTTAGCTCGTGGCAAGTGATGTCGGGATTGATTCCGGGCATGTCGCTGATATTCCATGCGAATGTGGAGACGTTTTTCTGGAGGAAACTGATGAGTGCTTCCCGGATACTGTTGTCGAGCTCGGCCCCTATGCCGACACATTTCGCTGGATCTGTTGGGTCAATGCCGATTTGGTCGACCTGGCTCTGCTTGGGTGGACCAAACTGGCTTTCTGCGGCCGTACGACCGTCCTGAGAGGGGCTTATGACGCATGTCCGTGCCATTCTTAGCTTGCACTCGGTGAGATGGCATAATCGGGACGCGGTCTGGCTTCCTTTGAGGGTGAAAATCCCTGACGGGGTCGGGAACTTGACGCATTGATGGAACGTTGAAGCGACGGCCTTCATGTCGAACAGCCAGGGCGTTCCCAAAATCGCATTGTATATCGCCGGTTTGTTGAGGACCAAGAATTTGATCATTCGAGCCGACCCGCCGACGTAGATGGGTATCTTCACTGTTCCTACTGTCCTTGTTTTCTCTCCGGTGAACCCGGTCAATGATTCCATGTAGGGCTTGATCTCGGAGTCCGGAAAATCCATATTCTTTAATGTTTCTTTGAATATGACGTTTACCGAGCTCCCTGTGTCGATTAAGATTCTGCTTACTTCGACATCTCCGAGCTGGAGTTCGACGACGAGGCAATCATTGTGAGGCATGTGCACTCCCCGCAGGTCGGCTTCGGTGAATAACAGTGGTACGGTTGTGACCGTTGTCTGGGGTTGTGAACTCGACGCTTGCCGACTGTATTCTTTGAGAGCTCGGACAGAGTAGTTGCATGATTCGAGGGCTCCCATAATCATATTGACCTTCTTCCTGGTTTTGGGCACGTTCGCCTCTCTATTAGGTGCTTCGCGATCTCGTTTAGGGGGAGCGACCTGTTCGTCATCGGAGTCGGTTGCCTTGGCCGCTTCCTGATTGCCAGGTTTGTTTGGTCGCGGGTTCGGCCGCCGAGGTCCTGGTTTAGGCAAATCTGTGGTGTCGATCTCGCCCTTGCGGAACTGTTGAAGTAAGAAATCCCTCAAATGTCGGCATTCCTCCGTGCTATGCCCATATCGCTCGTGATACTCGCAAAAACGCTCACTCAGTGGCGTATCGTCGTCCTTGTGCCATGTGTTCCAAGATTTTGGAGGTCGTCCTGTTCTCTGGTTCGACGGTCCTGCTTGGTTTACTACTCCGCGCGGTTTCCCGGGCTGGACCTTTGTATCTGAGCTCTCTTTAGGGGTTGGCGTTTGGCCTGGCTTCGTCGTTGAATACTGCCGATCTTTGGCGGCTTCTTCTTCTTCCTCCGCGATGAAGATGTTTGACTTATAGAGCGCGTCCTCGAGGGCGAGCGGTTTGTTCCTGCGAAGATCTTTGTGAAAGGGTACCACGTTTTCTGATACAAAGCCTCGAGAGCGGCTTCATCGTCCACTGTGCAGTGTGCTACGATCTGTTTGAAACGTGCCATGAAGTCTCAGAGCGACTCATTCTCGCCCTGTGATATCTCCCACAGCTCGGAGTTACAAGTTTTCTGCCCGATGAACATCGAGAAATGCTTAGCGAACTTCGTCGAGAGTTCATTGTAGTTGTCGATGGAGTCGGCCTCCAATCTTGAGAACCGGTCTAGAGCAATGCCTTCGAGGTGTTCGACGAACAACTGGCATTGAATCGCGTCCTTCTGTTCGGCCGAGGTAAACTTCAGTCTGTTAATTACGATACCGAACGAGGTAAGGAAATGCCTTGGATCGGAGTTCCCCTCGTACGATCGTAGCTTAAACTTTTCTAAGTTTGGGACGGGGACGTTGGTGATCCGAGAAGTGAACGGTGTTTTATGTGCTTCCTAGATTACACGGTCGATTTCGGGTGCCGAGCTGGTGGCTTGGTGAAACTTTGAACTGATCTCTCGCAGTTGAGCCTGCATCCTCTCAATCTCCAGGTCGCGTGCTGTTGGTTGAGCTCGCACGTGCTGAGATGGGCTCTCTGTCTGCTGGTACTGCTGAACTACTGACCGTGCCTCTGTGCATTGCGGGTCTCGCTCCTCTTGGAAGTCACTAATGAGGTTCCGTCTTCTGATCGGACTCTCTTGCTGTAGGCTGGAGATCTGTGCGGTGAGGGTTGCGAACTTCGCGTCGTTGCTTCTGACCAACTCTTGCATCTGCGCGGCGAAGGCGTTCATAAGCGCAGTTGGATCGAAGGCAGCTTGAGCTCGGTTTGGTGAGGTCTGGTGCGCCCCGGCGCTTGAGCTCGGCTCCGTCCTGATTTGTTGCGCTTCCGATTGGGGTTGTACGGGGCTGCGTTCGCATTCCTCCACAGGCCTTCCGACCTGGCCCGCAGGTCCTCCGACCTGGGTGATTCCATCTGCACAGGTCATCTGACTTCCGACCTGGACTGAGGTCGGTTGTCTATCATCATTTGTCATATCGTCTTGGCCGTTTACCGAACCGTCCCCACGGTGGGCGCCAATTGTTGATTATTATATTCAACTATTCGAGGTCGGTCCGATAATTTAAGTTCGAAAGGTCTTAAGTTGATCAGATATTATTAAGTTCTCAGTTACAGTTCGTTCAGTTCGGAGGATTCTCGGCGAACTCGATACAATATTCAGGTCTCTATTCTCAGGGTCCGAAAGAGGATCCCTTCTACAGTAACAATTCTATTATTTATAGTACACAAGCGAGGAGACGTTCTAAGGCTTCTCGTTCAGCTCTCACCGCCTCTCGTCGCTGGGCTTCTTTCTAATGGGCCGCGCTGTCAGGCCAGGCCCATTTCGGCTAAGACCATCGTAAACCGGGGTCAATTGGGCCGGTCTCGGTGTTTAACCGGTCCGGACCGGGGAGCGGAGCGTACCACCAACAATTATAATTTATGTCGATGACATAATTATTGCGGGTAGAGATGCTAGTGTGATTCCTTCATTGAAGATTCAACATAATTTTTTTCAAACTCAGAGATTTGGGTGACTTGTTGTAATACTTTCTGGGTTTAGAAATTGCTCGATGTTCAATAAGAATTTCTATTTTTCAACGCAAGTATGTCTTGGAGTTATTATCAGATACTGGTTTTCTTGGCTGTAAATCGTCTACTATTCCTATAGAGCCAAACCAGTCACTCCACAAAGATGATACTCCTTTGTTACAGGATGCATAATCTTATAGAAGATTGATTGGTAAACTACTTTATATGTGTAACACAAGGCCAGATTTATCTTTTACAGTTACCAAGCTCTGCCAATTCTCTTCTGCCCCTCGTGAAGTTCAATTTCAGGCTGTCTACAAAGTTCTAGGATACCATAGGCAAATGATTGTTTTGCTCTTCTGATCTTAGATCTTTCTTTAATAGTTTACTGATGCTGATTAGGCGGTATGTCCAGAGACAAGAAAATCTGTTTTAAGATATTGTATGTTCATAGGAGAAGCGCTTGTTTGATGGAGATTGAAGAAAGAACCAATTGTTGTTTGCAGTACTCCTGAAGCCGAATACAGATCAATGACGTTTGGTACTAAGAAGTTGATTTGGATTGCACAGATCATGAAGGGCTGACGCCTACCATCTCATTTACCAGCTGGATTGAACCAAACCGAATTAAACAAAACTAATACACACCAAACCAAATTCGAACGGAATCTCAAATTAGACTGAAATGTCCAGTCTAACCAAAATTATACACCTAATTGACTCTTGAAAATATCTAACAGAATACAATTCTCTTCTTTTTTTTAAAGGAATATATATCTACCCTAATAATTATACATTATTTTATTCTCATGTAGGACCCGTTAAGCTTTTGGGAAAAGTAGATCTTATCTTCACCACGCCATTATCTCATTTGTTTTTCAATGGGATAAAATAAATATCTCGCTGGTTGATTACGGTATTAATTACCAGTCGAGGCTATAAATAGAGACCCTTTAGATCCTAGTTTATCGACAAAGCAACCAAATCCATAAAGAGAGACTTAATTAATAGAAAAGAAAAAGATCGAAGATGGCAGGAATCATCAACAAGATCGGAGATGCACTCCACATTGGAGGAGGCCACAAGGAAGACGAGCACAAGAAAGAGGAACACAAGAAACACGTGGACGAGCACAAGAGCGGAGAGCACAAAGAAGGTATCGTTGATAAGATCAAAGACAAGATCCACGGCGGAGAAGGCCACAGCGGCGGAGACGGCCACAAACATGACGGTGAGAAGAAAAAGAAGAAGGACAAGAAGGAGAAGAAACACCATGACGATGGTCACCAGACTCACCTCAGCAGCAGCAGTGACAGCGACAGCGATTAAGGTTTTTTTCTTCATTATTTCTATTTCAATAGCCAGGGATCCGAACTGAAACTTAGCCAAATCAATAATCTGTAGAGAACCGTATATTTTTTGGAAGACTCGAGTCTTTGTCTCCCAACTTTGGGATAAACCTCATTTCTCTATTCTACTCTCTGTTTTTAATTATAATTAAATAGAAACGAATTTTTAGTGAATTTCTAAGTTTTATAAACGCGTTTTTCCCTATTCATTTGTATTTGTTTTTCTGTAAAAAAATTTTGGAATGAAACATGGTATTTTGAACTTTCCTAACAAAACTTAGAGTGAGGAATGTTGAGATTTTTTTCAGCGTGTTTTTAAATTTATTTTTGAACGAAATCCATACAGTTTGGAATGAAAAAAACAAAAAGAAAGTATACATATTATATATATGAGATGATTCTGCCGGTCTGTATTGAATAATTTTTTTTTAATTTGTAGGTAAGGAAGTGAGGAGGTTGCTAAAATAAATCAGATCTGCTTCTAACTATTAATTAATGGTGTTGTCTATTCCTATACTTTTTTAAAAGAAGAAGAGAAGAGTGCATATGTCTCTGTTATGTTTTTTTTTTTTTTTCATTTTTACCACTTGTGTTTCTTGTCAAAAAATTAAAAAAAAAAACTCTTGTATCTTATCTATATTAATAAAAGGTTAATTAAATGAATAACCAAAATCTAATAATTGATGAAAAATACAGCCATGAAAATCAGATAACTAAGTAACAATGTGGAGTTTTTTTTAGATGAAAATATTCTTATAGGTATGAATGGGTAAATTGATAATTGGAGAGAGAATTACTTCGCAGATGCGCAGCGTGTGTGTCAAGACACTCTAATCACTAACATAACAGATATTAGTAAGAAAAAATAGACAATTAATAATATCTATTTTGACACACATATATTTATCCCGTAAATTTTATTTTTTGCATAACTTAGATATTGTTAACTGTTTAAGCCATATATTAATACAAAAAAATATTGATTTTACTTCACGTTTAACATAGTTCTAATTTCGGAAAACAAACCCGTATTTTTATTCATACGTCAATAATGATACTTATAACATAAAAATTCTATTTTTATTAATAATATAGCATGACTATTTAAAAATAATATAAGAGATAACAAATCGAACAATTTAAAAATATAAACTGTCTATAAAAAAATGTATAGAAGCTTTTGTGCATTTTTTTCATCTATATATTAACCCATTATTTACAATATTACATCCATCTCCAACTGAGTATGGATTTGATAAGTGTAATAGACTGCAAAAGATGATATTTTACATGTTTTGTTATTTTTTATCAATTTTTTTTGTTAAAATCAAATTTATAAAAATAGACGTTCTATAAACAAATTTTAAAAATAGAGATTCTAAACTTTCAATCGAACAAGACGCTGGAAGAGAAGAATGGTGGCAAGACAAGAGAATAACCAATCTGAATGACCTGTTAATATTAACTCCAATGTTAAAATTATTTTAAATATAAACATTCAATAAAATATTAGATCTTTTATACACATTTACAAAAGAGCGAAGAGTGAAAATTCACACTCCACCAAAAAAGACTCTGTTGGCGATTTAACACTTGAAAATTAGGTGAAACTCACAAGGAGATAGAAAAATAAAAGTCTAAATTGATCTCTTTTTTTTTTTTGAATCTGGGTACTCTTTAATATGGCTCTTAATGTGGAAAACAGTGATTGAACTCATTTCAGTTAATTTCCGATGAGATTCCACGTGGATTCGGTAAGAGAGACTATAGCAGACTATTGTTATTGGCGAGAGGAGCTGCACCCAAAAAAAAGTTCGCGTGAGGTTGTCGATACGATGGTGGCAACAAATTTGCAGCAGTGAGGAATTGAGAGGTAGAGAATCTGTAGGAGAGAGGGAGATGAGAGGTTTAGGAAAAGATTTATACATTCGCGTGAGTATAATTGAATTATTGTTGGTTATTATTTACGTAAGAGGTAGAAAATCTGTAAGAGAGAAAGAGTGAAAATGTTCAAGGGTAAACTTGTATATATTATATATAATACGTAGAATATAGTAAGTTAGTAACCATCATCTTCATATGGTTATTTTTTAAATATTAAATTTTGTTGGTTATTAACTGCAATTTCTCTTAATAAAAATTGATGTATCGGGTCAAACGTTTTTTTTTAATTTGGAAATTTGTTTCTAAATAAAGATCAACTTGATGAATCTAATAAAGGAAACTAAATAACATATCAAAAGAATATTACCATTTGAGATACTTTTTCAAAGTGTAATATCTAAAAAAGACACTTTTTAAAAATATGGCACTTATCTTACTTTGCTCCATTTTTTTGACTTTTTTGCCATTCTTTCTATTTTACATTTTATTTACCTACAGAAAAATATTAACGTCCCACTTAAATTCACTCATCAGTGTTCACACACAAAATCGCTCGAGACCCACCTTGATTCATTAGCTTCCACATACTAAATCGCACGGAATTCACCTATATGTATGCAACTATATGGATACACATATAAATATGCATATATATTTATTTAGTTACATCCATCTATAATATATATATGTGGGTATACATATATATTTATATAGTTGTGTCAATATGTATGCAACTCTATGGATACACATGTAAATATATTTATATATATATATATCTATATAGTTACATCTATCTATACTCTATGTACGTGGATAATTGCATAGATATTCATATATTTGTGTCCACGTGTATGATACTATATAGATACATATGTGTATATATATATATATATAATTGCATAGATATCTATATATTTGTGTCTACGTGGACCCTACTATATGAATACATATGTCTTTATCACTAAACGATAAAAGAATTTAGGTTAAAAATATAAACGGCTATCAAGGTATTAAGAAAAAAATTATATAATTTAGAGTGTCAAAATAATTATTCAATTATTCTCTAAACAATAGATAAATAACAACAAACAATTATGGAGGATGTTGGATATTAATGTAATATTAAATAAAAAATATAGATAAGTAATTGTGTGTTAATGATTTTAGATTTTTTAGTCATTTTTCAGTGCACAAATAGTAAAAAAATATATTTTTATTAAAAAAAAACTCAAAAGTGTCTGTTTTAGACATTATAAACTCAAAAATACTCCTATGGTAACACAACTCTATATCAAATAATATTTTAATTACAAAATTAGTTATATAACAATAAATAACTAGAAGTTTATTATATCTAGGGTGTCTACATCTAGGGTGTCTATATTAGCAGATAAAACAAAAAACAAAAACAAAAGTAAATCATTCAATTAATTCATAAACTTTAAAATAACTATTATTTTCATTTGATGTAAAAAAAACTATTATTTTAATTTTTTTTAAAAAAGAGAAAAACACTAACACTAAAACTCATGATTCAATCAATTTACACATTTTTATGATTATTATTTTTTATCCAAAAAAATATGAGTAAAAACTGGGAAAAAAAATTAGAGAAAATGACAATGACAAAAAAGGTCAAAAGACGATAAAAATAATAAAAATAGAAAAAAAATATATAAATTTAACCTTGTCGTTGCTGATGTATTGCTGCTTCAATTGGATAATTTAGGAAAGAATTAGTCATCGCTGCTGCATTGCTCCCACTCCAACCAGGTCGGACTCTCTGGCACCTTATGCGGTCTCTTCAGGGATCTATGTAAAAAAGAAACTGGTGTGAATCACGTTTCAGTGTGTGATATACTTGATCTGGATTGAACGTAACTCCCAGTTCCATTGTCAACATTTCCGTTCTTCAACACCTCTTATACTCATTGACGTGACTATCAGAATCCGTATTCCCGGCCTGAGAGACTCTTGTCTTGGACAAGCTTCTGAGATGATGCAGTCAGTGGCGGAGGTAGTGAAGGCGGCACAGGGTCATGTGTCCCCTACTATTTATAAATAATTTAAGTAAATTTAATTTTTTTTTTTTTACATCCGCCACTGCATGCTGGCTAGCAACGTCTCCTCCTTTATTGGTGTTGCTTGATTTTCTTAAACAAGCACTCTCTTGGTTTTATCGAGACAATTATTAAAACATTGGGCTTTGGCTATAGTTTGGTTTATTTGATGTATTGTCGTAAGGATTAAAATGGGCTAGACCTAAAACACTAAGACCTTTGTATTTTTTTTTTCCCTTCTCATGCTTTTAATTGAAAAATTTTGTTCAAAAAAAAGATTTTTTTAATCTTATAAACAGATAAGTTTAGAATCTAGTCATATATCTATTAAAATATTTGTGAAAATATTCGGGCTGTGATTTAAAGCTCATATTTATGTGTCATTTTGATTAATGAAAATCATATATTCTGATTGGTTGGTTTTGATTAATTTATATTTTTACTGTTAAAAGAGAAGGGTTTTTTTTGTCCAAACAAAATTTTTACTATTCTGTTTTTAGATAAATTTCTGTTGCCAAACAAAAATATTAATTTTAATTTAGATTTACAGATAAGTTAATTTAGTGTTATATTAATAAAATAATATATTTTTAATTTCTAATTTAATATAAATTCGAAAATTTAGTTTTTAATTTAGATTTGTTATAGATTTTCTTAAATATAGGTTATATTATCAAAAAATATAAAAATTTATTATTATATTTTTACAAAAATAAGAACCCAAATATTAATTTAGATTTAATTTTAATATTTAAATTTAAATAATATTTCAATGACAGAAATGAAAATGATATATTTTATTTTTTGGTTTAAATGTTAATTATATTACCAAAAAAATAAAGGTTATATACTACAAGCTATAACAACCCATTTTAGTTCCCGAAGGATAATCACAAAACTGGAACAAGAGATAGCTATTGGAAGTCCATAAAACAACCAAAATAACATTCTAGGAGAGATTGAGAGTTAATTGAATCCGTAGCTGGATATGAGAGTAATCTGTTCCGCATGATGCGGTCGGTGCTTGCTGAGAGAGAAGAAGTAGTGGATGACCCAGAGTTAAAGATTCTCGCATTGCGTTCTTTCCAAAGAGAATAAACAACCGCTTGGAAAAGCAGTTTAGCAATAGCCCGGTACTTGGAAATAGGAGATGACTGAATTTTCTCAATCCAAGCTGAAATTTGATGAAAATTCACAGGAGGATTATGCCAGATTTTGGAAGCCAGAGATGTCCATAGCCGGCGAGAGAAGCCGCAGTCAAAGAAAAAGTGGGAATGAGATTCAACACCCGAAATACAGAGAACACAAGAGGGAGAAATCTCTAAACCCCAGCTGATGAGTCTGTCACGTGTCGGGAGTCTAGATAGGTAGAGCTGCCAAAGGTGAAAAGAGAACCGAGGCACTGCTTCTTTAAACCAAACCGTCGATGACCATCTGACAGTTGAGTTTACGGCACGAAGCTGAGTCCATGTCCCTTTTGTCGAGAAGGATTGCTACTATTGAAAATGATTTAAATCAAGGCACAGATTCTGTAGCATGCGCCAATATAGATGAAAACGGCGAGGATACTACAGATGAAATTAAGGAGTTCTTCGATTGCAGGTAGTATTTAATTGGATAGAGATTGTAGGCATGTTTTATAAGTTGCATTAGTTTTGATTACATACTAAATCTCTACTGTTCTATTGTTATGTAGATATGTTTCTTCATTTGAAGCTACATGGCGTTTGCTAGCATTTCTAATCCATTTTAGGACAACTCCAGTGGAGAAACTCTATTTTCATTTAGAAAACGAGCAATCAGTACTTTTTGATGATGATGATCCAGTTGAAACTGTTCTAAATCGCAGGTCAGTACAGAGCTCAATGTTATTAGCATTTTTTGAAGCTTGCAATAAGTATCCAGAAGTTGAAAACCTAACATATGCTGAGTTTCCTACAATGTTTGTTTATGATCGTACAAATATTGAATGGAAACCAAGGCAACAGAAAAATAGGTTAGATGTTGGTAGAATAACCTATGTACCTCTTAAATGTGGCCAATTGTACTATCTTCGTGTTCTACTCAACCGACACAAATGTCCTAAGGGGTTTGATGATTTGAAGACAGTTGATGGTGTTTTACATTCTACATACAATTATGCATGTTATGCATTGGGTTTACTAGATGATGATAGAGAATATATAGATGGGATTAATGAAGCAAGCATGTGGGGTTCTGGTGACTTCCTTCGAAAGCTGTTCTGTGTTATGCTATTGACTGATAGCCTAATTAATCCATTTGGAGTTTGGGAAGAAACTTGGAATATGCTATCTGATGATATTCTTTACAGAAGAAGATCTATTGAAAACAATCCAGGTATTTCATTAATTTTTTAAAAACTGTCTATAACTATAGATGTTATGTATACAATAATACTTTATGTTAATATGAATTATTGGATTTCAATACATATGATGTGATCATTTCGCAGAACTGGACCTCTCTGATGAACAGCTCAAAAATTACACATTGGATGCAATTGAGACTATACTGCGAAGCAATGATTGTTCTCTTTCAAATTATGATGGAATGCCTTTGTCGGAGGGTGATTACAACACAGCTGGTATCAATAGGTTAATATACGATGAAAGAAACTATGATAGAGAAGAAATGAAGGCTATCGTAGAAAACATGCTTCCTGGTTTAACTAACGAGCAGATGAATGTCTATAAAGAGATCATGGAAGCTGTCACAGAAGATAAAGGAAGAGTATTTTTCTTATATGGGTTTGGTGGTACTGGAAAAACTCATTTATGGAAACTACTATCCGCTGCTGTTCGTGCTAGAGGTGAAATCGTTTTGACTGTTGCAAGTAGTGGAATAGCATCTTTGTTATTGCCTGGTGGTAGAACCGCACATTCCCGTTTTGGTATACCAATAAGCCCAGATGATGACACTACTTGCAATATTCAACCTGGAACAGACTTAGAAAATTTGGTTGCTGAGTCATCTCTTATCATATGGGACGAGGCACCTATGATGAGTAGATATTGTTTTGAAAGTTTGGATCGTACTATGCGTGACATTATTAAGCGTCATAAGGATAAACCATTTGGAGGAAAAGTTGTTGTGTTTGGTGGTGATTTTAGACAAATTTTGCCAGTTATCAGTGGTGGAGGAAGGGAAGACATTGTTATGGCTTTTATTAATTCGTCATATTTATGGGATGATTGTAAGGTGCTCAAGCTTACAAAAAACATGAGGCTTTTGGCTAATCTTGATGAAAGCGTAGGAAATCAAATCATTTTCAGAATGGATTCTTAAAGTTGGCGATGGTAAAATTAATCTACCAAACACCGGAGAAGTTATGATCGACATTCCTGATGAGCTTCTAATAAAAAAATGTGATGATCCCATTTAATCTATTGTCCAGGAAGTTTATGGTTTAAGTTTCGAAGAGCAATCCGATCCTCACTTTTACGAAGAAAGGGCTATTTTGTGTCCAACTAATGACGATGTTTGCCTCATCAACGATTACATGCTTTCTATGTTGACAGGTAAATACAATTACCATTGTTTATCGTTTAATTCATTTAGTTTTTAAGTTTAGTTATCATATTTATATACTATACTGATATATTTATAAATTTTTTTATTATCAAGGTGAGGAGAAGACTTATCTAAGTTCTGATTATATAGATCCATCTGATACATCTAACCAGGATAGCAGAGTATATACTCCTGACTTTTTGAATAATATAAAGTTGTCTGGTCTTCCTAATCATTCTTTGAGATTAAGAGTAGGAACACCAGTTATGCTATTAAGGAATATAGATCCAAAGGCTGGTTTGTGCAATGGTACAAGGCTATAAATCACCCAATTAGCTGATCATATCATCGAAGCTATTGTTTTAACTGGTGACACTCATGGTCAGAAAGTTTACATTCCAAGGTTGAATGTCGCACCTCCTGAAGGAAAATTTCTATTCAGAATGCGAAGAAGACAATTTCCTTTGGCTGTTGCCTTTGCTATGACCATAAATAAAAGTCAGGGTCAGACACTTTCAAGCGTCGGTTTATATCTGCCAAAGCCTGTTTTCTCTCATGGCCAGTTATATGTTGCTCTATCTAGAGTAAAATCAAAGGATGGGTTAAATGTGCTTGTTATTGACAAAGATGGTAAACCTCAGAAACAAACAATGAACGTTGTATTCAAAGAAGTGTTCCTGAAGATATAGATTCAAAATTACTGGTAAGTTATAACTTGAACACTATCTACATTTGCTTAGTATGAGTTTTTAATTAACGTGTATGATGGATTTGTAATGTATTCAGGAAGTTGCAAGTAATGCTATTGATGTCGTGTTGGTGCAAATGATCCTGATATGTTCTGTTGTCAGCAATTTGGTATATTATTTGATATTTATATACTATTCCCCCTAATACATTCACTTATGTTGTATTGGTTACTCAATTTGGATGTATGATTTTTTTCACACAGCTCATATGTTACTTTGATATATATCGTCGTATAATTTGTTTATATAGTCGTAGGTTACTTATTTACGTTATATGTAATTGAGTTTTGACAGACTAATATCCTGATCACTTCATATCAGCCTCATATGTAAACAAACATAAATTAATCAAAGTTAGTCAAGTACATTATTTAAACATTAATTAAAAACGGTTTATATTATGTTAATTAATTAATATGAATTATTAAAAACATTTTTGAATTATATTTATGGTTATTTTAGATTTCAATATATATTGCACGAAGATATCGACTATGTATATCCCGAATATATCTCTATTAGTTAGTTTCCCTTATACATATTAGATATTATTTACTTGAATACCCTATCAAAGAAGTTATCCCTTATATAAATACTCTGTTGTGTAAAATTTGTCAGCCATTTGCAAGAACTTTGATATATAATACCGTCATGATTTCTACTTACTGATTGGAAAATTATGGTTAAAATTACTAAGAAGTGGAAACAATATACTCCACATCGAGGAACTACTCTTAATATGAAACTATATGACGAAGAGGTAAAGTGTAGAATTCATTACATTCATTTTCTGTTTTTTACATAATGAATACTTTCAAAAACCTGTACTTTTCTTCATTTTACAGGGTCATACAATTTGTGCTACAGTTTACAGAAAATACATGCAATTCTTTGAGAATAATATTGTAGAAAACTCATGGTTTGTAATTGAAGAGTTCACTCTTATTCTCGTTAATGCTGAATACATTAACACAACATCCCTTTTCAATATTTAGTTCATAATTTCTACAACTATCACTCCTATCAGATATGTCGAAGGTATTTAAATTATATTTATTTAATACTATTGTTTCATACCATGCATGTTAATGAAATATCAGAACTCTATTGATGCAGTTTGTAAAACCAGTCTCCAAGGAATTAGATGTATCTACCATTAGTAATGATAGTAAGTATTGTGTGTATTCAGTTATTATAATAGAAATTTTATATTGTTTCGAACTCAATATTTTTTTGCTTACTCACTATTGTTTTTTCATTTGACAGCATTTATAATAACTGCAAGTGGTTATATTCGAGCACAAGCACAAATCAACCTATTATTTCCCATAAGCACTTTTAAATTTTTTAGACTATTATATTGTTCTTTATTAAATTTCCAATTTGTGAGGAGGATAATAAATTAAGTTTTGTTTGACATAAGTACCTTTTCTGTTTTTAATATTACGCATGTTTTATAATAATCTCCAAACTATGCAATTACCAAAATATAGACATTTCGATAATCAGATTTACATTATTCAAGCGTGATATATATTCTTTATATAAACGGTGATGCTTTTTCCTTTTGTAACATTGTAACACTTATGTACATATTTGATCAATATCAAATATTCTCTGCTGCTTTATAATTGATTAGAAAATACAATGACATAAAACTGTTTTCCTTTTATGTTTTCAATACATATATTGAGTGGCTGTGTAAGTTCCTTTTTTGATATGATAAAATATACTGTTTAAATCGATGACATATTTGGATATTTTGAATAAAACAATATATCATAAATTTGAAAAGAAATCTGAAGACATTATTGTTTCCTAGATAAGAGAGATCTCATTACCCATTTTTTCAAACTTTCAGTTACTATTTTCTAGAAACAAAAAAGCTCTCTCGCATATACTTCAATGGAAGACTATGACCTAATTTCAGATATGCATTGTGACCAAACAAATTGGACTATAAGATGCAAAGTTTTGAAGAAATGGCATGTAAAATATCCAAGAGAACGTCCATCTTTACAGTTTCTGTTGATGGATGAAGAGGTATTTAATTTGTATTTATTCACTTATCTTTTAAACTTTTTGTTATACTATATTTAACCAGGTTTTTGTATTATATAAATAACTAATACGTACATGGTGAAACTATTCAAGCTTATCTCTATATTACCGATTTAATTAAATCATTCGACAAGACAATTGAAGAGGGTGAATGGAAATGTTTTTCTGAATTCGTGGTCTTTGATGATACATCGGATGAACCAAATTCTCCTATTGGTAGTTGTATCCGGTTTCTAAATAACACAGAAGTAGAAGACATAGATCCTATCGATGTTGAAATTGTACAAGATTTTGTTTCATTTTCTGATGTGCATGGTGATAAAACAGAGCCTGGTCTTCCTATCGGTATATTAATGCCTTTACTTAGTAATCTTATTTTAGACTAAAGTTTCATTTATTTATAAAGTTCAATTGATTGGAATGTGTTGTTTGCACTTTGAAAATTTTTTTTTTCAGATATTCACGGTTTTGTTATCAGTATTGATCATCTGGTCACTGTAAATGATGATTCCTACCCTGAGAGACATGATAAGAAGACTACCAGTATATCATTCACTTTGAAGGATTACAAGTAAGCTCAATTTTTCCTTTTTCATTTTTACCATTTTCTCTATCTGATTAAATATTCTGTTTATTTGTTAATATTAAAATTTGAAATTTCTATGTAGGGGGTTATTGTTATCGTGTGTTGCATTAGGACCACTTGCACTTGATTTTAATGACAAGATTTTCAGTGAGGAACAATTACCATTTGATGTTATGTTAACTGACTGGTCTGTTAAACAAGGAGAAGGTTGGTTTTTGTATACCAATAATATTGATTAATTATTTAATGTTGTATAGCTTTGTATATGAAAATAACAATTCTATTATTTTCCTAGATGGATACTATCTTCGGTCTACAGGAGGGATTTCTAGAATCGAGTTTCATCCCGACTGTCCAAAAGCCAAAACTTTGGTTAGATGGTAAATTGTTATAGGCAGTCACATTATAATTTAATAAAATATGTAGCTTTTTGAATTACTGTTTACATGAATTTATTTATCTGCAGGTTTTGGAATAACCAAATTAAACCTACCAATGTCATTGATTTGGGTAGTAATGATGATGAGGCAAGTCCATCTTCCGTGAAGAGTAGAGACTGATTGAATTCAAAATTTATTATCTTTGTATAATTATATACTTTTGAATTATGGTATTTCTATGTTTTTATCTACAATGACTATTATGTGATGTTTTAAATATGGGAGATTCTTACTTTTTATGACTTTACTATGAAATATGTAGTAACCATATTTTATCTATTATGTTTAAAATGTGTGAATTTTATTACTACATGTTTTCAAATATGATATTGAATCTTAAATATACTGGTTTAACGTTCAGTTAAACTAACTATAGAGTCGTAATTGCATATGTATTCGTATTATAATGTTTGGAAAAATCAAGAACGCAAAATCACGCATAGAAATTTTTAAGTCAAAGTTTCTATTTAAAAATTTAGAAACAACTACTTTAATATCGTTTGGTAGTTGTTTTGTTGCTGAATACTTAAATTTATGACCTGTGCATGCAAAGTTAAGATATTGAAATTGATTTGATCGATATCTGATTGCAGCTTTTATTAAGTGATATTATATATTTAGATTGAGGAAACTTTACAAACATAAATATCACTTTTCAAAGTTCATATCTATGTATATTTTATACAGTAATGACATCTTCCTTTTAAATTTATAATATATTAATTACTAATACTATAGTATATGGTTTATAAGTATTGTAGGAAATAAAAATATTCACCACATTTATAATTTATATCCCTTGGATTCGCAACATATAGTTTATGAAGTGTACAAACATGAATAAATATAGTAGTTGAAAGTTTGCATAAATATTCATGTGATTTGATAGGAGTATACTTATATCTTTACATCTGTAACTTCCTTTTTATGCACTCGGAATATAAACAGAGACAGCTACTGACATCTTACACCGATTGAAATATATTCGGTGAACTTATTCCTTTTTTAACAAATTAAATGAACCATTTTTGTATTTACTACACTTAAATGTTTACAAACAATCGCGACTTTAGAGTAGTTAACCGTCTATGTCTTATATATATATAAGGAACTTTTTTTTTCCATAACTTCATCCTTCACAAAGAGAAAACCTAGAAATTTAACATCAATATCTCTGAGTAAAAAAGATGGCCGAATATCAAATGGTTAGTGATTTAACACCATGGGAGGAATACAAGCAAACCATCAAAGTGAAAGTTCTCAAGCGTTGGGAGACTGTTGATTCAAACGGAAAGGATGGGATGTATTTCATCCTGGTTGATGAAAGTGTAAGTTTTGTGTTTTCAAAAATAGTTATTTATTTTTGCAAAGTCTTTTTGTTGTGTATTTTTCAATTTTTATTTTTTTACTCTAGGGTTCTCGAGTTGCTGCTACCGTTGATGAAACGTAACTCTCATATTTTCAACATGTCTTTCAAGAAGGAGTTTGGGTTCGGATTTCCCAGTTTGGCTTGGCTAATTCCGGGTGGAATGATAGATCCACTAAACATGCTTACAAAATCATCCTCTCTCAGAAAACAAAGGTGAATTCTATTAGACCATTAACGGACGATCCTTTCATCAGTTTCGTTGATTTTGCGAGTGTTCTCAACCGTCCTTATTCTCTCTATTATCTGATCGGTTAGTCTCTTTTACTATTATTTGTAATTTTATAAAATGCAATATTTTCATAGTGGTTTGCATGTATGCGTAAAAGGTTTATGTTAAGTAAAAATGGACATGCAATAATTTATCTGTTTAAAATACAGATTTGCTTGGTGTTTTCGACAAAAATATCGGAGATATTGTTGAAGATGTTGGTAACGATGGGAAAACGGTTTCAACTCTGCATTTTCGTATCACTGATATCGAGTAATGACATTCTTAAGTTAAATTTTTTTTTTTATTTAAATGTCTTTTAGTATTAATTTTTTTCCATTTTTAGGGGTAATACACTTAAGTGTGTTGCACATGGTGATTTGACCTATTATATAAAGGAAAAATCTAACGGTGAGGTACTGAATGGACCAACTCCCATATGTGCATTGACTGATAGGATGGTGAAGAAAAGCTTAAGTAAGTAATATCATATAGTTAGCTTTGTTTTTGTACCATATATTACAATGGATTGGATATAATTGTAATATGATGAATTTTTGTTTATATAGATGAAATTATTATCAATGATTATGAAGGAGGAAAGCTATCACGTTTCTTGGTTCATCTACCACTCGATGAAGTTTACAATCTACGGGCTAAGTAATAATTTTATTTTTTTACTTATTACATGTATAAATCGTTTGATTGATATACTTATACTTAGTTATGTTTTATTTATCTTTTTTTTTTTCAGGATGTGGGTAAAAGTGAGGGATTCGGCCCACAATGCTTCATCTTCTAGATCAAGAAATGCTTAGTTCGGCCCATCTCAATCTTATCTTAATATCTATCTTTTTTTTAAGACTTTAATCTAAAGGAGTGATGTCCTCCTATGTTATTGCATGTTAAGACTTTAATTTATTTCAGATTTTGTTTAATTTTAAATATTTGATGTTATCTTTTTAATTTATGTTTTTAAATCTATTTTATTTTCAAATAATTGTTGCATGTTTTAATCAGATTTTAAATTATACTAAACAAATGAAACTAATTAACTTAAACAATTAGTTATCATGATTGTTATTTAACTTAAATCTGTCTACATTTATTTAACTTAAACAAATGAAACTAATTAACTTAAATCTGTTTACATTGTTATTTTATCAGTATCACACACTGAACAATTACCTTTTTTATTTTAACTATATTAAATATATTTTATATTATCATGATTATTATAATTTTCAAAAGATTACAATTTATGGAACTAAAAAGTCTTATAAAACGAATACTATCGTTCATTTTTAAATTTACTTAATTATCAACTTTGTAATTTAATTTTATTTTAGTACTAACGATGTAACCACAAAAATAATAAATAAGTGAGTTAATAATGGATGTATATTAAAATATTTTGCTAAATAATTAATGAAGATATTTGTTCTTATTTGTTCTTACTTGCTATATGTCCAATTCTTTGTCTCCTTATATTTCAGGATTTGGAAAATATAATGACTAGATTTCCGGAAGAATTTATATATGATAGCAATATTATTAGAAACTTTATGTTTAGGGTTCAGCATTCCTTAAATTAATCATTGTTAATATTTGATTGCATATTCTATAATTATCTTTCCTTAGTTACGCGAGATAACACATATAATGAATATATACGTAACAAATCATTTTTAAAAAAGATTACGAATACGACTTCCATATATTTGTCATATTACTTATTTGAAGTTGCACAAAATATACGTTAATATTTAATTCTATAATCTGTTTAATGTATCGTAACAACTTCAACCAAACTATGGAAATATTCAGAAACAATATAGATAATCGTTATTTATGCCATCTAAAATATAACTAACAAGATACATATTCCTAAAATCACTGACTGTTGCAAATTTTTTAAAAATTCTTCGTATATACGCAAATAATTTTGGGACGTCATATCCTTAATTTACTAACATACTCCTATATAAACCTTTGCTGCAAACCGTTTTCTACATCTTTAATCGGAAACTCAAAGAAAATGGCTGAATACCAAATGGTGCATGAGTTACAAGCTTGGGAGGATGGTTGGACAATTAAGGTGAAGATTTTAAAGAGATGGGGGGCCTTTGATGCTGACGGTCTTCGTGTGATGAATTTCATATTGGTTGATGAGAATGTAAGTTTGATACTCATCTCTATCAATGTTTTATATTATTAGTACTTCATATCGTTTTGCTACTAATGTTTTATATCAATTACCCTAACAGGGTTGCAGAATTTCTGCCTACGTTGGTAACCTCAATCTATCATATTTCGAATACGTTTTGCAAGAAGGAAATTGGGTGCAGTTATCCAAATTCAAACTAATTCCTTCTAAGTGGGAAGAACGGACTACAAGACACGTTAAGCAAATAATTTTAGATGGTGAAACTAAGGTCAGTTTCATCCGACCTTTGACTGGAGATCCTTTCCTTCGTTTTGTTGATTTCAGCCGTGTTTACAATAAGCCTTACAGCCACTTCTACCCAGTTGGTAAGTATTAACATTTATCTTTATTAATTATGTATTTAACTATGTTAGTGTTATCGATTATAGTATTGTATGATTGATTGTGTAATACTGATCAGTTGTTGTACTACAATATTTTTTAATCCCGATTTGATTGGTGTTCTGGATCATGTTGAAAATATGGTAACTGTTGTTTATCCCGATGACAAAAGTGTTCCAACACTGAGATTCCGAATTAAAGATCTGGAGTAAGTAATATAATGGTTTCATGTTTTTATATCATTATTTGAGATACAATATAATCATAATAATTATAATGTGTAGGAATTGTACTCTTAACTGTGTTGCACATGATGACTTGGCTTACGAGATAGAAGGGAAATGCAAAGGTCCTGTAGGGAAGAGTCCATTTGCTATTTGTGTCTTAACTGATTGGTTGGTTAAGAAAAACATTGGTGCGTTTATATGATTTTCATATTTATAAGACAACTTTATACACAGTCAAAACTTGATGACCTTATCTTATTTATATATTAGATGATATGACAATTGAAAATTACAAGGAGGGATCGCTTTCACGTTTTGCTATTGCCCCGCCATTGGATGAAGTCAAAAGCTTTGGGATCAAGTAATAAACGTTATTAACATTAAATAGTTTTAGATTATGATTTTTCTTTTACTGACTAACTACATGAAAAATATTCTTCTTAGGCTTGCAAAGAAGATAACGGAAGTCTACGTGAGTGCTTCAAGTTCTCAAGGAAGAAAGGATTAGGACTTATGTTATGCTATCTTATATTTTATATTCTATTTTAAATTTTATTATGAGTGGTATTCTCCTAAGTTTGTTTTAATAAACAATTTGTTTCTCTTCCTACCATATTTAATCTGATTTCAATAAAGTGTATTATTAGTTTATTAATTTTTAGCATTATTTGTTAGTCATATATTTTGCCTTTTTATTCGCTAATGAGT